GCCTTTTTAAAAATTAAATTAATCTACACAGAACTGTTGAAAGGGATTATACTACAATGAATGTATGCAGATACTAATAGCTAATTGTTTACAATCAACACCAGTTAAAAGGGCCTAAACCACATTTTTTTTTTTTTTTTAATTTAGATAACATTAAATATAAATATAGTTTAAATAATTTAATAAGACATTTTAGTTTCATGGAGTCTCATCTTTAATATAATGTATACAAGTATGTTGTATCTTAAAAATTGAATATTTAATCAGTTTTATTTGTTTCCTGAAAAAAGTAAAATTTGGTATACTCCCTTCTAACAAAATACCAACGATATGCTCATTGCGCTCCCCCATTTTCCCTTTCATAACGAATTTATTCAAATTCTGATTTTTAAAATTTTTAAATATACTTAAAAACCATGTTTTCAAATGTTTGAGATGTTTGTAGTAAGTACTTAAGCCTCAAAGAGTGTTCAGTGGCCAAGAAAATTTCTGTTTTTGAAATAAGAACCACTCTCCATTATTTTTTACTGTAATTTAGTTGATATTATTTTTTTTTCATTTTGATATAACTTATTCAAACTTTGAACTCGTTGTTTCTCAGTTATAAAATTATTTATAATGTAAAATGATTTTACAAAAATATCAAATACATGTAATATTGGATCTAGTCTCTATTATAGGTACTTGGACCATTTTTACAAATTATAAATGTCGATGGATTAATATTAATTACCAAAACGATTATATCGCTAGAGCCCCCAATCTTTGAATCTTTCAAACCCTTAACATGGATCTATTTTCCTTAGTACACAAAGTTAAACAACTCAAAAACTACTCGTTAGAATTTTGATTTTGACACGTCAACATTTTTAAAAAAATTGTCGTTTAAATTATTTACAGTTGAAGAGGGGAGTTCTTATTTAAAAAAACAGAAGTTTGTTTCGCCACAAGACACATCTCCTTAAGTAACAATTAAAATGTCAAGAATTTATAAGTTATCTAATAACTAAATTGTGGTCTTTAAGCCTATTTAAAAATTTTCAAAAATTGTTTTTAAGAACTAAAATATTATTGAAGAAAAAAGGGGTGAATGTACTTGGTGAATCGCACCGTATAAATAGTATGTATTATGAGCTTTACATATTATTAGCAATGATAAAATATAATTATACTAGCTGCCCTTGTGCCTCGATTCCGGGCGTTGTGGAAGCCGCCTTCGGCGCCTTCGAGGGGGTCGAGTGAAAATCGTTTCACGGGAAATTCGAAAAGAAATTAAACCGTACCGAAAACTGTGACTTGGAGCGTATAGTGGTCTTTGCTCGTCTGGTGTAATACCGTGCCCCGCTGTATGCCCGGTTCTGTTGGGTTGACTGTATAAGAAATTAGGAATTGCGAATAATTGTAATCAAATGTCTAGCTATCAATCATCGCTGTATGCAAATCTATGAGTTATAGGGCATCTGTGTATGGCGGATTGGATACATGACCCGTCGCATGCCCTGTTCTTTTGTGAGTGCAAAAAGGATAAATGCATAACGAAAACGGTAATTGTGTGTCTAGCTTTCAGTCCTCAACCGGTAAAAATTTGTGCGTTTACTGGGCATACCTCCTAACGTCGATAGTCTGATATTGTATTATTTTAGGAGAAAATGTTAAAGCCGAATGTCAATTGAATAAAAAGGTTAAGTAGTCGATTTAAAGGGCACTTGCATACTTCCCAGGTATATAGGTGTCTGGTTGCGAACGACCTGTGCATACCAAATGAAATTAAAACGTTCCATAAAGCTAATTAAATGCTCTAAATAACTTATATAGACACCTGTAGGTGTGGCGTACCTATCATAACATTATTACTGTTCATAAGTACTTATTAAGTACAGTTAAATGAATATATGTGTAGCCTATAAAACATCAGTTAAATGTATCATGTTGTATATATTATGTGTGTTGTGCACATGCTTATAGTTTTTGGTTTTTAAAAGTGGTTTTAATACTATCAATCACAATCTTTTACAATTTTATAAAAATTATATGAAGTAGTATATATAAATGATATGTATAATACATTTTTGCATGCCAACCACATAAAAATGACGACAAATAATACAATATTTTAAGGATAGTTACACCATTTGAGGAAGCATTTTATATTTATATATAATAGAGATGTTCTGAGTAGAAAATCTGGTATAAAGCCGGGTACCGAGTACTGGCCGAGTAAAATTTATAGCACTAACCGGGTATCGAGTATTGGCCGAGTAAAAATTTTAACACTAACCAGGTATCGAGTATAGGCCGAGTAGAACTGTAAATACAAAATTTGTATTATACTAAAATCAAAGTAACAAGTATCAAATTTATAAACATTAGACAGAAAACACTAGATTTATTTTTGTAATTTGTAGATAAAAAACATGATTTCCTTATAATTATCTGGCTATTGTAATTCGGTTCAGTTATGTACCAAAATAAATTATAATTTATCACCCTACAATTTTAGATTTTTCCCGTTATATTAATTATAGGTATGCATATATTTATAAATAGATTATAAAAATTTGCCATTGGATATGAGTCGAGTAAAAATGAAGATATTACGCCGGTACCGAGTAATGGCCGGGTAAAAATGTAGGTATTACGCCGGGTACCGAGTAAGAGTCGAGTCTTAAATATGATATCGAGTACCCGGCCATCGAGTAATTGCCGGGTACCCGGAACATCTCTAATATATAATATGTATATAATAATAATATATCACATGTATATGTAGTTTTCTTGTTTTGAAAGTTGTTTGAAATATTTAAAAAAATAATATTAGTACGTCATACGTGTAAGCCAATGTAAAGGTTAGTATATATATAAATATAAGGTGTGAATTGCAGTAATATTAAACTTGGTAATACATATATTTGTATTAGTATAACGTTACATGTATGTTTTAAGAAATTAACATTGTCTTAACAATCGACACAACAAGCTCCTACTAAAACTCTTAGCTTTTAAATAAATGTATTGCAAAATGTCTATCCAATTCGTGCATTCAAATCACTTATATATATATATATATATTTTTAATATTTTTGATATACATATTTTAAATAATAATGAAAGTATGTGCATTCTCATAACAGTGTAATGTACCTATATTTATTGTATATTACATTTGCTTAGGTAGGTTAATTTTTAAATTACCTATTAAATTTAATAATTATTACATTGCAAAAGATATATATATATGCATGTAATAATAATAGTAACATTTACAATTTATTAAGCGAATATAATAATAACGTTTTAGAAGATAGGTTGGTGATAGGATAGGATAGGGTGGTATATATTTATTAATAATACATATTATAAATCATGTATAATACATTCTTGCATGCCAACGACACAATAAAAATGTTGACAAATATTACAATATTTTAAGCATAGTTTTACACCTTTGGAGGAATTTAAATTCAATTTATTATAATTTTATAACATATAATATGTATATGTAGTTTTCTTGTTTTGAAATTTGTTTGAAATATTGCAAAAAAATTGTCATTGTCATAAACAATCGACACACCAAGCTCCTACTAAAACTCTTAGCTATAATAGTTAAATGTACTGCAGTCTGCAATACTCATGAAATATGTCTATCTAATCCGTGCATTCAAAATTAAATGCCCCCCCCCCCCAAAAAAAAAAAATGTCTGGATACGGCACTGATGGAATGTATATACATTTTATAAATGCGTGTAATTTAACTTTTAAAATTTGAAATAATAGGAAGTTGGTGCTTGGTAGGTATGAATTATTGCACAATAGGTACTTGCCAAATCGAAATTGAATATTTTAATGTATATTATCAATACATTTATTATCACTCTTGTTCTATTTTAAAATAATAATAAATTACAATGTAAAACTTAGTACATACTTTAAATTATATTAGTTATAAATTATAGTTTATGAGAATTTAGTTGTGTTGTAAAATCCGCAATTTTACAACATGTTAAACTGCTTTGTTGTCTAAATCAGAATTCGTCCACTTGCATTCTTTAAAGATCTTAACTGTGTACAGTAATTAAATCGTATAAATGTAGTGTTCGTAGCATGATTGAGCTGTTTTAAGTATGTAGTTTTTAAAATAAGTTTTGGATCACTCGCACGCGTTGGTTGTATGCGAAGTGCGAAAGAGACAGAGATAAGAATTGCAGTTTTATGATTCTCATTTTTCGTTCCGTGGATCCGTCGTACAGTCTTATCTGCGGTCAACACTCAACGGTCGACGGTCTTCGGCTATTGTATAGCAGGTAACCCAGAATGCTTGCCATGTTGCCAAATCTACGTAACAGGCCATTAGTTATAACTTATAATCCTTTGTTTATTAAGTTAGAGAATCGATCAAATGCCATAAACCTTCTCTACAATGAGCTCTTTATTTAAAAAAAAAATCATAACGATTGGTTCAATATTTTCCAAGAACATAGGCCCCAAAGGTTTTCATTTTCACATTTAAATATATAGATATACTTTGTATGCATATATATCCCAGTGTTGGGATTAGATAAGTACTTTTTTATCTAGATAAAGATAAAAGATAACTAAATTCAAATCTATCTAGATAAAGATTAAAGATAAATACATTTGTATACATTTAATACATACCATAAAGTCTAACATTTGACAGTTAGGCTTAGATACTACAGTAAAAAGTGTATATAATTTTTTTGTATAGAGACGAATTTATCTAGATGGATGAATTTTTTATCTTAGATACCTAATTATTTAGATAAAACACAACTATTTATATAACCCTATTTCCATCAAAATTCTTAACTATACCCATTACCTATTATGCATTTAGTTTTTCAGGACCTAAAAATGATTAAAGTCTTATAGTGAAACTTTAATAACTCATAATAATATAGGTATTAAGTTTAACGGTAATTTGAAAACCTACATTATAAAACAAATACGTCGGGTATATTTTATTAAACAGGTTTATTAATTTATGCACAGAAATACACATACCTAATACATAATATGTTACACAAATGAGGAGGAGGTGGCCAAAAATTTTCCGAGGTTACAGCAGGAGGTGGAGGAGGCAGCCAACAATGTTCTGAAGTTACAGCATGAGACGGAGGAGGTGGCCAAAAGTTTTCCGAGGTTACTGCAGGAGGCGGAGGTGGCGGCCAAAAATTTTCCGAGGTTACAGCAGGAGGCGGAGGAGGCAGCCAAAAATGTTCCGAGGTTACAGCAGGAGGCGGAGGTGGCGGCCAAAAATTTTCCGAGATTACAGCAGGAGGTGGAGGAGGCAGCCAAAAATTTTCCGAGGTTACCTCAGGAGGCGGGCCTGCGACGGGTGTAAAGGATACGGACGTCGTCGGCGAGGTAGGTTTGTGGCATTGCGCGTTCAGAGTGTCCAGCTCGAAAAGGTTTTCTCCTGCCGACACATCATTTTCAGCGGCAGCCCCCGAGCTCGTCAACCTTAACATCAGCATGTGGTTTATTCCAACGATATCTATCGAGTTTTTCGTCACATCACCTACACGGGCACACCTCATTAGTACTTTATTATCTATTAACCGTTATATTTCTATATTATATTACTTTCAAGAACCGAGACCCTTGTCTTCAGTCTACGTAGCTTGCAGCCGTCGGGTTTTTCGGTGTTTGCTAAACGAAAGGAAACGACTAATGTATTACACTGTTATGGGTATAGTCAGGTCGATATATTATATAATATTACTTTCCGCGGATTGTATCTCTGTATTTTTCAGCAGATCGGAGGTCAAACGGTTCAAATCTTTTTTAAAGCTAGACACTTCTAATTTCAGGCTGTCGATCGATAAGCGCTGATCGTCGGCCGTCTGTTGAAAGGTATACATTGCGTCGGCCACGTGATGTTTCAACTCCAAACAATTCATTTCAACCACTTTAAAGTTATGCTGAAAATCAAATCAAAACCGTTTATCAGCACTGCGATATTATATGATTACATTCGATTGTTCTAAAGCCGTTCTTAGTTTCATACTTGTAGGTCCTCGAACGCCTGCTTTTCCACCGCGTCCATATACAGTTCTAGAAAGTATGGAATTATATGAAAATAGTTTTAATTAAAAAATTATACTCAATATCATATGGAAAACTGACCTCCTATTGATTTTACGATCTTTGTGTTATCGTTCAAGTTTTCATCGGGCATGGTCCGAAAACTTCTCGAATCCTCATCGGACATGGTCCGAAAACTTACAGGTTCCATATCGGACACGGCTCGAAAACGTTCAGATTCTACACTGGACATGGTCCGACAACTTACGAATTCATCATCGGACACGGACCGAAAACTTTTCGATTCCGCATCGAAAAACTTATCGTTTTCGTCCTATTAATATAAATAGGTACTATATTATTATATATTCACATTACTTGTAAATTTAAAATCATATCGAAGTTGAATTAATATTGTATTAACCTATTTAATGTGTAAAATTATCTATTAATATGGGTTGCAATTTACCAACATAATATATTATGTGACTTGTAATTATTTCATATTAGTTACAGATTAATAATTAAATGTGCAAGTTAAAAGTTAGTGAATTTCAACTGTTACTAATACTTAAATTCACAAACTCATAAGTGTAAATTGGCACTTATGGTAAATATTTGTACCTGGCTATACCTATCCAAGCTAAAAAGTATGGAATTCTTCTGTGAAAAACCTGATATGTCCCCTTTTTCAAAAAAGTATTTTTACTGTGGTTTCCTGATCAGGAAATAAACTACACATTTCGGTGTAACAAACCGTTATGTCCGATTATTAGTTACGGAGATAATATAAGCAAAATGGATTTACCAGGTTATTACATTTCAGAGCAAGAACCTGCAGGTATGCACTCTAGTCACACAAGGTTTTTGCTCCGAAACTTATTAATATGTTGGTTATACTAAAAATGAAAAATATTATAGAATTTAAACGTTTATTGTTATAATATAAACCTACATGATATTATGTATTATATTTTGTTTACCTCTAAGAAGTCTTCCATATTTTTCATTCCATATCCATGGGTAGTTGGTTTTTTTCTCCTTGACAATAGGAAAGACACTCCTGCTATACCGAAGGAAGCCAAGGAAATTCCTATCAAAAATTCTTTCGAAAAGTACATATTTTTACAGCAAATAGAGTTCAACAAAAACGCGTACAACAAAATAATATTTTATTGTGAGTACTCTGTTTATTAGTAAACCGTAGTGATGTAAATAAATAACATTATAATATCGTGTTATATTTTGATATTTAAACAATTCAACCAGATAATAAATTTTTTTTTTTTTTTTTTTTTTTTTTTTCATTGATCATTAAGCCCGGCAACTATGGCCATTAGCTGTTTTTGTTTGTTTGTTTGTTTGTTTGGTTTGTAGGGGAGGGAACTGTTGGTTCGTAAACACGTGTGTTTGTGGTGGCAGAATTTTTATTGGGGCACCCGTAGGTTTCTGCCATGCCCCGGAGTGGGGGGATGGCGGCACTTGTTTTCCGGACACCGTGACTTGCCCGGAAAAAAATGCCGCCCGGTGGTCGAGAATCGAACCCGCGACTGCCAGCGCCGCGGCCGACGCGTTAGACCGCTCGGCCACCTCGTCCCCCCACAGATAATAAATTATTATACAATATTAGAGTTTAATTTATAAAGTCTTAGATTTTTATCGAACTGCGTTCACAAATTATCGTTATGAAAATCTGAATATGCATCAATTGCGTCCATGCAATCGCATCCCGGGCCCCAACTGAGTAGGGCCTCATGCCCCATATACATTTGGAAAAATAATTTAAATAAACTGCTTAAGACTTTCTAAGCTTTCTAATCGTCGTACTCAGTGGCACCGAAGCCATAAGCCAAGGGGGGGCGGTCGCCACCCTTATTTTAATGGATGTGGTCTCAATTCAAACATAACTTAATTTTATTAATTTGTATAATAGGTAAATTGAGTTTATATTATTTCATTTGGATTGGGTTGAAGGGGTGGTGAAGGGGGGTGGTGGGTAAGTACATTTTGAATTCCATTGCCACAAAAAAAATAGTTCGGCGTCACTGTTTGTAACCATTTTATTTTGTGTAGTACTCTCGTACTACACTTGTATACTTAATAATTATTAAATGAGGTGTTTCGACGTCTCGTTGTTGGTGCTTGTTGTTGCAGATGGAGTCACACAGATAGATAAAATGAAGTATAAGTCGATATGTTAAAAACAGTAAGTTTTTAATAAAATGAAATAAATTGAAATAGTAACAAAGAATTTTGCACTTAAAACTTGTGGGCAGAGGTTACGCTCGGTACCCGAGAAAATACGTGCAGTAAGATAGTAAAAGTATATTCTGATTCTACGCACTAAAGCTATCCCTATATATACCCAACCATATCCGTGGCCTATTCCCAATAGTGCCTCTAGATTAGTTTACATAATTATGTGCGTAATAGTTATTTGCAATAATACTGTATATAATTATTATTATTAACAATTATTCATCAAAAAAATATAATAATATAATAACAATAAAAATGTAATAAAAATACGATTGATATTAGCAATTACGTATTCCATAAAAATATAATAAATAATTAATAATCAATCATTCCAAATATGCTAAATAAGTGCTAATAATTATAATAAGTATTTTTATAACCCAAGAAGTCAAAAGGACAAGGAGAACGCCAAAGTCAAAAAGATGTACAGTCATAGCTAACAGGGTTTACTACATTTGTATTAAAAATTAATGTTCAAAGATAAATTTTCTCTAATAATAAACTTTTAAACATTTTTAAATAGTACTAGTTTATATGAAAATGGAATTGAACCTTTACATTCAATAAACAAATTAAGACCAAATAATTCCGTATGTACCTATTTGTGACTGTTTTTGCAAGTTTAAGGTTATTACTTTTTAGAACACTAAAAACGTTTTTAATTTACAGATAATGTAATTTAATGATTTAATTAATATATATGACAATATTATCTTATCAAAAGGTTGGGTACCATCTGTAATGGGTAGAGGAACAATTGCATTTTGCTTTATTATTTAAATATAATAAAATCAATGGCTCTAGGTAATTTAATTATTTGGGGCAAAGTGGTTTATATCTGGAGCAATGTGGGAACAAACCAAATTTTCTTATAATAAAAGAAGAACTTCAGTTGATTCAGTGTCTATTATGTAAAAAATGGCTTCATTGTATTTGTGCTGAGTTTGAAGAAAAAGGATTAGAAAACCATTTTTAAATGTGAATTTTTTCACTAAAATTATGTTTATGGTTTATGACATTTAAAAAGTTACAATTTATAATTTTATTTCTTTTAAGTTAAGATATACTTATACATTTAAGTATATTAAAGTTTTTTATAAATAATTTGTTGTGTTTATAAAATTAATTAAAATATATGGAATTTTTTTGTATGTCAACTGTACTTTTTTTTTAAAACCTTTTAAATTTCCATAAAAAAAAAATCAAATTTTCATAAAAAATGTATTATCAATTATCTTAACCTATAGATTGAGTGAACAAAATTTGAAAGCAAAAAAAATGATTTATAAGTGAATTACAGTTCTTCAGACATTAGCGTCCTCACTTTGCCCCATGTTCCCCTAAGTATGCAATATATAGGTAATAAGAAAATAAGTATCCTATATCTAAATTTGGACATATCGATACGATTCGATACCATTCGATACCATTCGATACAATTAATGCATTTTTGATGGCATGTATGGTTGTACGAATAGCAACCAGAAAAATAGTTTTAACCATTTTCCTAACTCGTCGTTTGTATATGCTGTTCGGAGTTGCTGCTCAGAAATTATCTATAAAGTTAATACGTTTAATATTATAATTTTATTATGTGTATATTTATAATATATTTTAAGCATAATTACTTTTCGCCACCAACACTGCCCTAAATGAAATCGACATCATGCTTGAATTTCCACATTTGGGAATACGTCTCTAAATGCTTCACGAGAGCTTATCTCAAAGTCTAAATGTAACCAGCGAATAACAAGTCTTTAGAAAATTAGATTTTCACTTTATTCCTGAAGAAACAATACCAAATGTCAATGTAGGTTTGTCTGGATTTTTCAGGCAAGAAAAAATAAGCCAAGGGTATATAAAATCCATTTTGTAAACGATTAATTGTATTAAGCTGGGTATAATAATATTATGGCCCATAATTAAAAGTACCATCGGTAAAAAAATCTGACGAATCAACCATACATCTTACAATCTTATAATTATTCACCTGAAGTCCTGAATGTACAGTTAATACATTGTTTATACATTATACCTTAATAATATTACTTAATATAGTTTATGATTAATTGATACCTATCTACAAAGTCAACACTGTAAAAATAAAAGTATTTATTGTTAAAAAAAAAATAGAATTCTGCATTAGTTGTAAGATTATTTGTATTTAAAGGAAAATATTTTAATCGTACAAAATTAGATTAACTAAAAGACATAAATAATAAGTAAATACGTCGTGTTACAAATAGTTTTTAATTAATAGGTACTTCAAGAAAATAAAATGAAATACATAATATTACATGATTATAGGTCATAGACCTTTTACTGTTATAGACTGGCCACTGGCCCATCCTAATTCCTATGCCAAATAAGTACATTGATTGTTAACATGGCGCAGCGGTGCTGCCCTTTTAGTACCTATGAATATTTTATAATATTATGAATATATTATACATATATATTTATATTTTACCTTACCAGAGTAACTCGGTAACCAAAATGGCAAAATTTGCCACATACATCTTGACACGGTGTAAACGTGAATAGGGTATTAGTAAAATTCATATACTTGTATAATGTATAGTCATATATATACATAAAAATTACTTGAGCTTCATTTTTCAAGACCTATAAATCGCGAAATCTTCAATGATTTTTTCATAATTTAAGTGTTCGGGCTCTTCTTATAAAGCCAAGGCAGAAAGACGCTCTTGGGACGTGATACTTCTCAAATAAGTGTCTATAAATTCTAATTTTGAGAATCTGCGCTAGCTGAATTCGAATAGTCAACATTATTCTAAGAGTCACGGCTGAGTTTTGAAAAGCTCCATTGCTTTTTTTTATAAAATTAAGTACCTACTTCAATATGGTAACTACCAACCAATTTTTATTTTACACACTTAAAAAAATATACTCATGAAATATAAATATAAAATTAAATGACCCTATTAACATTTAATAAAATATTTTAACCCATCATTTTGTGTATGATAATATATCATTTATATAAATGTCATTGATGTAGATATTTATTAAACCTCATAGGTTTTCTTACTTAGGCTTCCTTCCTGCGGAAAACCCCTTCATACCATTGTTGTTGTAAGTTCTTTGTCGTTATTCGAAAACTAATAACCGCAAGTATTTGAAATTTTTATCAAATGTTTATTTTATCATATTCTGTAGGTAGGTAGGTATATGATAACATTTTCAAAATTACCATATTATTAGAAATACAAAAGTACACTCTCATAGAATATTTCAATACTATTCATATCCTTTATACATATGATGATCATGTAGTTTAGGTATGATAGCTAACTATTATGAAATTTAATATTGATGAGTGATGACCCTTCTCTAATAAAATCAATAAAATAGTAGCACCAAAATGGTCGGTCATTAGTCTTGATGTTTATGTGCTTGATACTTCATAAAATATTAGTGACACATCAATTTGAAGTATGTTTTAATGGTTAAACATTATTTGTATTTAGTTAAAAGTTATGATAAAAGTAGTAGACATTACATGTTTATTGTCATATTATTTTAGTTGAGTTTTAATAGTTCTTTCATTTCATTGGTAATATTTCAACATCAACATTCAATTTGACGATATATTATTACATTTTGTTGTGTGTTCAGGTACATAAATATATAATAGGTATATAATACAATAATACATAATAAGGTCATAATTACAAATATGTTTCTTAACAATTATCTCCAAAAATAAAATATAACGTACTTTTTTGTATTTTGATTTTTTTTTAAGAACATAATATTAAGGTCTAACTATAAACTGTCTTGGTGAAATGCCCATCTTCTATGACCATGCTATATTCTTTTTATATATTAGGTAGACATTAAAGTTAATAGGTATAACAATTTAGTCTATAATATACTATTACACTTGATATGATAAAAGTATATTATAAACATTTTGCTTTGTGATAGTAGAATAATCTACTTTGGCAGACGTCCGTTACTTAATTTATTTATAGTAAATAATTATTTTATTTAATATGATATGCAATACACACTATGTACTTTGTAGTAAATAGTACCTAATTAATAATAATTTTACTAGGCATTTTTCTATATTAAGATCGTTCTTTTCTTTGCTTCACATAAATATAAATTATTATTTTTGCAACCAGACAGCAGTGACACCACAAAATTAACAATTTAAGGGTTTTTTATAGCATCAACATTATATTGTAATTACTAGTGTGTGGATTTATATTCAAATTGCATTTTTTTCCAAGTATTCCATAAATTGTTTGCTTTCAATCATACAATTCGTTTCATACATAAAAAGGTAGTTATAAGAAAAAAAATATTTAGCTCATATAAATTAGGTGTTTCAGTTAAAAGTATTAATGCATATTATATTAAACTTTAGAGGACCATAGTTAATAACCTAAATTAATCATTTGACTGTCAAAATGTTCAAAAAAAACCTTTACCAGAATCCATAAAAAAATATAGTGGTTAGGTACCATTTGAAAAAATAAAATCGATTTTATTATTGATAAAACTGCGTGCTTAAAAATGTTGAAAATGTTATAAAAAAATTTCCTGTTAAAAATAAAAAAAACATCTTTTTTTTGTTTGAACGAAATTCCATATCATCGATCCATAATTGTTAAAAAAAATCCCGCGTACGATGACATAAGATACACTCTTTTTTTTTTGTATAGTAAAAAGTTATAAAATAATATAAAGTCATTAAATATGTATACAATATATACAATTATTTTGATGTTAAAATTGAAAGGGGGCCCACTGTGGTGTCCCAGGGCCCAATTGATCCTTAATCCGGGCTTGATCATAGGTATGGACTTAAGGGCGGTACAAATGTGGATAGTTCCATAAGGAGCCAAATACCAGGTGCAACATTGTTTTTGCATTTTTCTTAATTTTGGAATATTTTGGATCATTTTTTGCATATTTGTATTTGCACACGAATTATTGGTAAATAAAATACTTTGATTTTCAACTTCAGAGGTAGTTTCTGGTAGAAAATTTGACCTACAGTTGATGCATTTTAAAGGTTAAAATTGAAAATTTCCAGTAAGTATTTTACAAACTAAACAAACAATGAAAATTAATAATAACAATTTTACTGGACTTTATATAATTTTGTACATGGTATAATTTTCAAAATATGTTGACTCTTTTTAAACAATGTATTATGATTTTCAATTTTTATAGTTAAGACTTGGCAATATTTTACAATGTTCTTAATTAGTAGTTTATACTGAAAACAAACAAATATAAAAAGTGCAGGTATGATAACAATATTTTTTTATAGACATTCGAAGTTAACATTTTGATGAAATTGAATATTTAAACGAAGAATAATGATGTTCGGTAGCTATTATGTTATAATTAAAATTCATTATTTGTAGGGACTTCAGAATTTTCGTATATTGTATATTTAATAAAGCCAAGATCCTTTATGAGCTGTAAAAGCTACGGAAAAAAAATAAAAATATATTTGATAATTTGAATATATGCAATAACCTCGGAAATAAAATAAAGACATTTTAAAAATATATACAGATTGATTTTAAGCATTTTCTATGTGTGGTAAAATTTTTAAAATCGTTGTACTCTTTTTGAGCATTTATAAACATTTGACATTCATTATTTTGAAAAAATTTCATTTCTTATAATATTGTTAAAGGAATGATTATACCTAAGAATGTTATAATTATAATTTGTACAATAGTACCTACTACCTATGTAAAGTAGTAAGTACTATATAATATTTAAGTTTGTGCATGGCATGTTTTGTATTGTATTTTATTGTATTACCTTTGCAGATTGTATAAGTTGACGGGCAAAGTGTATGTGGCCAATTATGTTTGGCTTACAACATTTTGGAATGATATCGTTCGACTCAAATAACGATAACGGCATATTTCAAATTGCATACTCTGTTTTTTTGTTTACCACCGGCATATCTCTTATTGTCGGGTTTCCTTTGGTAAACGATAAGTTCGACGACTGGTCAAAGGCGTTCTCCATGTCTTTGACGGCGGTAACGTGTAGCTCTGGGATCATAACTTCATTGATATCAAGAATGGTCGTTATATACAACGTCAAGTTTAAATATCAAAAGTATAAGACGACATTAGAGGGATTCGAGATTTACATACCAATGAACTCCGTCGCCTCGAAACACATCAAGTATTTTTCTTTCTCCGTGATTTTCTTGTGCATGAGTCTTATTATACCCTCAAATGCCCTAAGGTTGATTTACATATTTAATAATCACGTTAATCCCTTTTTAATGACGACATTTTTTGGTTTATATTACTGTCACAACCTGAGCATGGTGTGCACTGAATTGCATTTCGCAATCCAGTGTTTTGTGGTGTACACGAAGTTTCGAGATATAAACGAGAAGTTAATTAAAATAAACGATGAAAAGAAAAACTACAACTACAATGTACGATATTCGTTAACTGGAAGCCAAGTGGTGACTCCGAGGAGTAGTGACGAAACGTCATCGGCCCGTGTGATCATATATGAAAAAGATTTTTACTGTCCAAAGGACAAAAGTTTCCCATTGGCGAATACTTTAGAGCTGTTTAGAATTGGACACTGGCTATCCAGAGAAGCTATCAATGACATTAAATATTTATTTGGCTTTCAAATGGGCATGTCTATCTTAATTGTAGCCATTACGTCATTATTCGACATATATACGGAATTATTTTATTCGTACACAAGCAGTTCGTTTAGTCAACCAGTAATCCGAACAAGAATTCTATTCATTTTGTGGATACTACAATACTCCATAAGGCTTGGCCTTATAATTATCACAGCACACACTACAGTACAGCAGGTTAGTAATAGACATCTGTAGGTATTTTACTACCTACAGGGCCGGCTCAAGCGAAAATTGTGCTCTATAGGCAAAATACAAATTGATCCGATTATCAGAAAAAACTACTATTTTTAATTAGTTTTTGGTTTCCCTAATCTTCGAGAAACTAAATGGAGTAACTAACTGTATACAGTGTACACAATTACACCAATATTGTGGTCAATATGGTGTACAGTGTAGGTATAGGACCTGGTAGCAGCTAGCATAGGCGGAACTAGGGTTAAAATTCTGGAGGGGGGCTAATAAAACTATTTATTTAAAATAACCCATAGGTGGCTTATATCTAAATCAATAAGAGATATTTTATTGGGTGGGAGTGCTAAATCATAGTCAAGGAGCTTACAAGTTAGTAATAGTTACATATATTATATTTGAAATATAATAAAGATAAAATACCATAACTAAGCTGAAATTTAGTATTTAACATTTAGGAACGTGGATCGATGTGGCCATGTGGGGTAGAGGGGGGGGGGTTGATGCCGCCGTGTGACAGTGTTAAATAATATTGCACTTGGAATACAACTTTTAAGTAGTCGGATTGAGCTCCTCTACTTAATGTTTCCAAATGGAGCATTTTTTTTAATATACTATAACTAGGTAGGTATATAAATTACCTATATCAAGCGTAGTAAGCGTACTACCTATACCTACTAATTATAATATTTTATTACTCAGCCATTTTTTTTTTTATTGTAGGCGGTTAAAACCAAAACGTTAATTACGGAAATGAACAATCGACACACAGATAGTAATACGAAAGAAGAGGTAATAATTGTCAAGCAGTTTATCCCATAAAAAATGATTTTTTATTCTATTCTCTTCATTCTTATTTCTTATTATATCATACAATTATACATATACGATATACCTACCTATTTTTTCAATTACGTATGTATTTAAATTTACAGCTACAATTATTTTATAATCAATTATCTATCTGTTCACCGGAATTCACCATTTTCGACATTTTGACCTTAAACAATAGTCTCATAACTTCGGTAAGTAATTAGCAAATAATGCATAAAAGTAATATTGTACCTAAATTAGTGTAAAATAAAAATATTCAATATTGGTATAGCCAAAAAATTATATCTATATTATCTATATAACTATATAAGTTATAAGACGTTATAACTATTAAATGTTTTCAACGTTATGATGTAATATAATATAGCATTGGAGTACGAAAGTGAAGGCCTCCCCCTATTGCCCATATTATTATTATTTAAAAAAAAAATATTTATCAACTTTCAACTGTCAACAACTAGTAAACAAGACATAAAATTCATAAAGGTTTGACCGGAATGACTTAGTTTTTACAAAAACATTGTGTTAACATACCAATTTTCCTAAAATGATCAGTTATTTTTTTGTAAAAGTATGAACTTATTTACTATATACTTGTATAAGAGACCTTTTATTCAATTTCCAAGCCTATACACAAATGTAAAATTTTATAAATTTTAAATTACAAACTAATTATGGTTTTGTCAACATTTGAACTTTAAATGTTTAGGTATAAAAAATAATCGCGATTATATATCGTTAATATTTTTAGATAGCTTAATAAAAACTTGTATTATATTTGCAAGCTTTTTGACCAAACGAATAATTTTTTATTGACTTTTTAGAAAAAAAAATTAAAATTAATCAATACAATTCAAGCGAAGACAGGCAGTCTGGTTAGACCAACAACAGGTTAGGTTGATTTAAATCTTTGAGTGGAACTCTAATTTTTTATAAGTCCTTTAGCACCCCTTCTTTTATATTTCCAATTCGAGCACTGCAGTTATGCCAGTCCCTAAAATTGTGTGTACTACGACACACTTAGTGTAGTACGAAAAATGCAGTGTGTAGTACGAAATTTAAAAGTGTGTTATTCTACTTATACCTTTATAATAATATTATGCATAATTTTATATCTTCATATTTTTTTTTATATTGTAATGGTTTCCTACCAAACCACATTTTAATTATTATCTACATTCTACACAGACACACAGTAAACAATATTTTGTGTTGTTACGTCTTATACTCTTATTATAGTTATAATTTTAAACTTTTCTTTGTCATTGAGAGTATCTATTTTTATTATTATCAGCTTAGTATTGAACGGTGGTATATAGTATACTATTTTTTTTATAGTGTTTATCTAGAAATAATTTAGATTTGACCGATTAGGGTCTATGTGTGTAGAACGGTAATTTTGATATTTTAGGGACTGAGTTATGTATAGTATTCGCACTTCACAGTGGCTTAAATATAGGGTCCAAGTGTTTCTCAGTCAATTCCTTAATGACCTCAATGTTGGGTGGGTCGTGGGTGCGAGTACCTATCGATAGAAGAGCAAATAATGAATTAATTAAATTGGTACCTAACTAAGTATTAAGTATTAACTGAAATATGATATTATAATAGTCAACAAATAAAGTGAATTGGTAGATCAGTAAAATACTAGCTTGTTTACAAGATATGTGTTCTACACTTCTACTAAGACGATATACCTAACTTAACTAATCTAAATTATATAATCTACAATTAAACTAAATGTATTACTCTAACAATATTATAAGGGGAGGCCACCACTCGCACCCACTATTTTTTGAGCAACACCATTTTTTTATAGACTACGCCACTGAACATAATATGCATATATTATTATTCAACGATGAAGGTAATACGAAATATTTTGAACAGATTACAGATGATATTCACAGGCTTAAATATTTTTCTGGTTTTTTCTGCATACAGAACTTCATATTAAAAATTGTTGACCTTTTTTAATTCGTACTCTTCTTTTTGGTTTTAAAATATATTATGTTTTTAAACAACTGAATTACAAAATGTTTTTTCTTTCTTACAAATCGTCTGTTTGGAAGTCAGTTAATGTTTTGATTTATATACCTAATAAATAGATCTACACCTCAATTGTAACAGCCTACCTAAGATTTTACAAAGTTCTATCTGATTTCACGTATGATTAATTTTAACTTCAACTAGCAATTTTGCAAAAATAAATGAAAATAAACTTGCTGTATACAGTAAAAATGGCGAATCTAATTCAAGCTCATGACGTGTTCGACATATTTCGTGTTTCGTGTTGAATCCTCTATTTATTTATATATTTAATTTTATTCTTGAGGACTATGTTCAATTTAATTAATCGTTGAACACTGTTTATACTTTATACCTGCTCCTATTTTAATATAAATATTGTTTTGATAATAGATGATGTCTGTTGGCGCAACATATATACTTATATTAGTACAATTTCAGTCAGACAAAACAACTCACAAGGATCATTAATTATCAAACCGTCCATAAAAATATTAAAAAATGGTAGGTAACCTTTATGAAAAATAAAATGTCATACCTATAGGTATCATTTTCATTCTTCTGTTATCTTAAACTCCTACTGTAATAATATTGTACCTATTGTTTTTTTTCTATAAATATTATATTATAATATCATAATATAATATATCTAAAAACTCCAACAAAGTTAAATAACTGAAAGTCTGAAAGTACCTATATAAAACATATAATATCTTACTGTATGTTTAAGATATTTTTTCGATTTAATATATTTAATAAATAATATATTATAAATCGATTTTTAGGGTTCCGTACGGTAAAACGGGACCCTATTACTAAGACTCCGCTGTTCGTCCGTCCGTCAGTCACCATGCTGTATCTCATGAACCATGAAAGTTAGAAAGTTGAAATTTTCACAGATTATGTATTTCTGTAGCCGCTATAACAACAAATACTAAAAATCCTAGAACGTATAATATAAGCAGTGTTGCCAACATGTTTATAGATGATGGTACGCAACCCTTCGTGCTCGAGTCCGACTCGCACTTGGCCGGTTTTCATAATATTATTTTTTATGTGCGCACGGTTTTAATTTGGGTAATAGATTAATCATAATTAATGTTTATAAAAATTATACACGATACACGTTTGTTACAAAATTAACAATAACGTTTGAAAAGTAACATAATGTATAACAAAAGCTTACCAATTGTGTAAAGTTAAATGTAAAATACAATAATCTGTATTTTTATTGTATAATTTTATTTTATTTTTCATAATATGTAACGTGAAAAACGTTTTAGTGTCGTACAAGTGTACAACACGTACAATCTGACAAACACATCAAAAGTGCATCACGTTCAGAAAACGATTGAACCAACCATGTGCAACATTTGATTACAAATCTAATGTTTTCGGAATTCAATACAGATTTATGTAAAACTTTGTTTATATGTTATTTGCAATTATACCACTTTTTAAATAAAACACTCACTTGAAAAGTTTTTTTTAGAAAATATAATATGCAAATAAGATAGGTATGAGTGTATGCCCTTTGTAGTCTTGTTACAAGCAGACAAAGGACAATATAATAGTCACTGTTCAAGGGAAAACAATATTGGTACCAATTTACGAAAATACCGACGATCATGGAAGGTATATATTGTAACTATGTAATAATATTGGTACACTTTAAATTGATTTTCCTGGAAAAGTTATGTTGTTGGCATCCGAGGTGGTGAGGTGTTGGAAAAAGTTGATCACTCGACGTAGTACCAAACTACCAAAGTTATTATTTGATAAATCAAAGATATAATTATTATGGGCCAATGTTTTTCAACATGGCATAAATGCAAGGCTTTTATAGTGACGTAGCACCTTGTATGATTAAATTGACATCCTTTATAACATATAAGTAGGAAAGGTTTAGGAATTAGGAGTTTGTGCACCGATGCACTCAAAAATAAAAAAATCCATTACCTATGTTCTTAAAATGTATTCAAAATGCAATCATTTATTTGAAATTTTATAATTTAATAAATTGTAATACGGTGTCGATATTTCAGGTTTTACTAGAAGGATGCACATTTTTGACAAGTCCTTTTACAAATAATAAATGATTGTTCTTTCCATGGTTTTTGCTTTTTCTATAATATAGTTAATTATAATTATATATCACAGTCATTGTACATAGTATTATTCCTGATACTATCAAATAATTTTAATTTATTTTATTACTATACTAAGCTTTACACTTTACAACCCTCAGTAATAAATAATTGGTAATTACTCATAATATACTCGATTTAAAAATAATAAAAATCTACTTATGAATAGTCTAACGGTGCCTTTTAGGCGGCAAATGTTTATTTGTGTCCTGTTGAATTTGTCAACAAGTTCAATGTGTAAGGTAGATTTAAATTTAAAACTGTTTTTATTTAGTATAAAAAAATTATCTTAAAACCGTATACAATATAATAAAATAACTATACATAATGCAATTTTAATTCTATAAAATTTTATCAAAAAATATAATGTATAAAATTATTAATTCCACTATAGGTATATAAATATTTCAAATAGCTTTTTCTTTGCAGGTATAAAATGTATTTAATATAGTTTTGAGCCATCCTTTAGTTTGTTTGCCTACTTTGATATTTACTCTTCTACTTCATTTTCTTCAGCTTTCTCTTTTTCAGCAGTTTTTTCTTCTTCTTCTTCTTCCTTCACTTCTTCCTCAGATTTTGTTTCTTCAATTTTTTCCTCTTCGACATTTTCTTCTTCGACTTTTTCTTCTTCGACTTTTTCTTCTTTAACTTTTTCTTCTTCAACTAGTTCTTCTTCAACTTTTTCTTCTTCAACTTTATCTTCTTCCTCATTTTGTTTTTCATTTACATCGACAGGAGATTCTTCTGCTTTTATTTCTGTCTGTTCTTCTTTTGCATTGTTATTTACCTCTCCAACCACGGCATCATTTCCATTTGTTAGAATTTCAGACTTGAGTATGTCTATTGGTATTACTCTAGTTTCTTCAACTGTAAGAAGAATAACTTCTTGTATTTTAGGTTTTCTAAAAAAAAAAACACATTCAAAATAAAATTATAACCTATTTAAAAGGTTAATAATAATATTAAAAATAAATCTTGATCTTGATTGTAAGTACACGATATTTAGTGTTACTAACTGACGATTTGCGTGTCTACCTAAAACAGTCAAAGGTCAAGGCACGGTCACACACTTGCGTGAGCAGGACACAAGGAATGATTTTTTAATGATTTTTGCAAGCTTAAAGAATAAAATTGAGTTGTTGAATGAAATTGTATTTGATAAAAATAATGTTTATGAATTATTTAATATTATATTATTGTGTTAGAAGTTAAATATTATAAATAAAACTAGCTAGTTCTAAGTTAAATCGATAGGTTAGGTATTATAAAAGACTAAAGAAACTTTTTAAATTTATTTTATAATAAATTATTTGCTCAAATCCTTAAAGTATTTTTAATTATTTATTTTAAAATTATTATAAGGTTAATTTAATTATTTATCTTAAAATTATTATAAGGTTAATTTAACTATTCTTAAAATTAATTTAAAATAAATAACTAAAAAATATACCCAAGCAAAGAATCTGTTATAACAAAAATTAAAAGGATATCTCTTTTATAATATCTTTAAGACGTCGATATAACTTAGAAAACAAATGAATTGGTTTATTATATATTTATATTAATATATTACCGTCAACCCGGGTGACTTGGAACTTGGAGGTGACTTGGAACAATTGCGTTATTTTTTGATAACAGCGGTTAATTTTATGCTAGATAAGGGAAATAAAATTCTGTCTCCACAAAAATATTTTTCGGAAAGTTTTGTAAAAGTTTTGTTATCATCGAAAATGTGTTATCTCTTATCAATAAGCCATGTGATATAACCATAATTTAGTAAAAAAAATCCAAATTTTCAAATCCTAATTTAAGAGCTTTAAAAGTGTAACTTGAGCTTCTAAAATCAAGGTATTGTTATTTTTTAGTGAATTCCTAATGTGTTGTTAGTGTTAATCGCTTAGTAGAATTAGGAAATAATATTATTTACATTTTTCAGGGTTGTTTTTATTTTAGGTAAAAAAAAGTGGGTCACTTGGAACTATTATAAATGTATACCTGGCAGTCGTACGTACCGAAATTTACGGTATTAAATTTCGGTAATTATACCGAAAAAAAATGGTTTTTAACACTTTTTTTTTTTTTTTTTAATATTTGTAGCGTTCCAAGTGACCTTCCACATATGATTAAATGCAATCTGCATTTGAAAAAACGCATGTTCCAAGTCACCAAAAAATCCGGGTGACTTGGAACAAGCACTTTTTATTTTTTTTTTACCTTAATTTACTTAAGACCTTAATTTTTTTTTTGCTCAATCTATTCCTTGGAGGTGTGCGACACTGCATGATTTTTTACAGAATTTAATTATCAATAATGAATGAGTTACAGTAGTTAAAAGGTGAAAATCGTTCCAAGTCACCCGGGTTGACGGTATACACTACTGTTATTCTAGAAATTCAATGGTACAAACCGGTGTAAATTATTGAATTATTCCACACTATCCCGCACCGGGATAATGAACCATGTTAATGGTATAGTGCAAATATCCCGGTGCATTTTTTTCATATCGAATTGAGTGAACTAGATTGAGTTGTCACAACACACACCTAATATAGTAATATCTACCAAGTGTTATCATGAGTAGCTGGTATTTCAAGAAAAATTATATTTTTAACATGGGGCGTTAGTTGTAGTAATATCATTAGAATTAGTCAGCAGAAACATATTCGTAATCGTAATGGGCAATAAAGACGTGTAATACCTAATTATACTTAATATAGACCTAAATTGTACAACTATCAAATACGTTCGTATTATGTTACATCATAAAATGTATAAGTCGTCAGTGACCCGTGTACACAATATATTGTTATAGATGGTAATGTGGCATGTATACCTCTACTACCACGTCACGAGTGTCGGAGTGTTCTATAAATATCTATGTTTTGCATATACGCGTGGCCGGATATTGCGTGCCCTTGCGTTTTGGTGGCTTGGGGGTGTAGGTATAGTAGGTTCTGCGATTTTAGTTCTAATAGGTTTTTTATTGGCCAGGATAAGATCTTTTTACTGGCGTATACTCTCGTCTTATATCTATAATTTGTCAACGAATTCTGGATATCATGATCGACATTAATTATGATAAAAAAAAGTTTATTTTCTGTAGGATTAAGAAGGTTGTTTGGTGTATAAACCCACCCTCTGTCGCTCGGCACACCATAGGTATAATATATTATTATACGTCGATTTCGGCAGGGTGATTGGTGATTTATTTAACAACATATTATGCACATTATGTATTTTCATTATTATTTCAAATTATTATGAGATCTATAATACATTTTTTAAAATAAATATTTGAATATGTATATATATACTACTACTACTACTTGTTTAATGTATTAAATCTACTATATAATATGTTAATGCATTATGTTAAAACAAGTAAAATGCTTTTAAACTATGAAAAGGAAGAGCGTATAATTATATGATTAGAACATAAATTGAGGTAGGTAACTTAAATGGTTTAGTATTGATAATTGATATACAAAATATATTATTTAATTTTTTATTAATGTTGTTTGTTTATATTTGTTGGTTCAGTCACGTTGTATACACTATGATGAATACACTATACTAATATATACCCTTATTCCTATGATGATGGTTGACAGTTGACATATTATATATTATACTCTACATTAGCTTATGAATAAAATACACGGATAAATAGCTATTTATTATATAGATATAGGTAGGTACTTAAAATAACAATTAATTAACTTGTACATGTTTTAAGATGATCATGAGGGATAATTGATTAACACTATAGTTATTATTAATGACATGTGATTGAGTATGACTTTTGTACTTATAACTATTATAAGTTATAAGTATAGGTCATAACTTTATCGTCATTTATAATTTCAACAAACGATGTAAGTATCCATGGAATAATAATTGCCACTTACTCTGGCGTAGTTGAAGTAAAATCGTTTACTTTGTCTTTTACTGAGTTTTCTACATCATCGACTTGTTTTTCTGCTTTTCCAAATATTGAACTGAATTTTTCTTGAGTCTCGTCCATCAAATTTTCCATGCTTCCACCGACGTCTAAAATAATTAAACGTAGGATTAAAATAAATATGGTTATCCGCTACTAAACAATTTTGTTTAACGATTTACAATAAATAATAAGACCATAACAGAACTCCCAAAGCCATATTGTCTGCACAGAAAAATTGTCTTTAAATATAAGACCCAGGTCTTAAATAATAATATTATACTATAATAGTACAATTTATAGAGTTTGAGTATGAATATATTAATTATTTTTATATTTGTATTCCATAATTCAATATTGTTAGGTATAGTCATTAGTGTTTTTTAAGTTCTACAGTACATTATATTATGTATAGGTAATATTATCACTTAAATGAGTTAAAAGTCAATAGGTATTATACATTATTATAATTAAATTAATCATTATTTATACTTAAGTGGATATCAGTTAACTATAATTTCCAATATTACTTATTCAAATTCCCAATTTATATTTTATTGGCACTATCTTATTTTAAATAGTAGATACATATTAAACAGTGCGAAAAAACAAAAAAAAAACAATTTTGTTCCATATTATATTTATATATTTATACCAAGTACCTAGGTATTGATAAATATTGAAAAATAAATGTATTAGTTCAATAACAGAGAATAATATTTGAACAATTTAATATTTCATAAGTTTCAAAATACCTACTGTAAATGCCTGTAAATATCTTATTGTACATTTTAAGAGGAATAAGAACTTTTTTTTCTTGTGAAAGGTATATTTTAAATTGAAGTTCTATAACTTTATGGGTGAATTTGACATATAAATGACGTAATACAAATTGTAAAGAATAAAAACATATAACACTACATTGATAGGTACATGGATATGGATATATTTCTGTCTACTGAATTCAATACTATATGTATAAATTAAGTAAATCTATGGTCTGAAATGGTAGCAGATAGATGTAACTTATGTACAGTTGATATTATTCTTAAAACTACTTTAAAGTAAATAGGTAGAATGAGAGAAGTCAAATAGGTAGATTGAATTAATTTATGTTTTTTTTTCGCCAAACTTTTCTTGTTCATTTTCAAGTTCTTTTGATCAGTCGTACTTTTATTAAAATGTCCCACTATTTTTTCCGGCTTGTTTATTATTTATTGTACCATATTATTTTGGAGCCCAGCAGATAAATTTATCGACTATAGAGTGAACACTGAACAGTACATCTAACTAAATTTGTTCGACCCATGACACTAATAGCTTTGACCACATTCGCAGCATAAATGAATACGGAAGCACAAACTTTATTTTAAATGTTCAAAAATGTAAAAACTATTTTAAATTAGTGACGATATTTATTGAAGAATGGGACCCAGAGGTTTTCAATGTTTACAAAACTCGCATGTTCGTAAACACCAGTATTATATATATTGACAAGTTATGCCTAAATAACCATGATTTGACAATGACGTGCAATAATTAATTGCAAAAACATGTGCTATATTTTATAAGAAATATTCAAAAATTTTATTTTTATTTTGTTCAGTCAATTCAACAACTACCTTTTCTTTATTTATTTTATTAAATGAATATTTACAATCTGTATACATAAAATAATACAATAAGTAAATTATGAAAGCTTAAACGAAAAAACGAAAAGAACATGAAGGCTTGAGAGAAGGGGGCGCCCATTGACACCACTTCAAATCAACAACTACCTATAGTTATTGTTTAATTTCTGGAAACAACATATTTAGGTGCAGCTATTTTCATAAATTTAAGGAAACCGCCTCCTTCTACAATGGATGCTCATAGGTCTAAAATAGATAACTCTTTTATAAAAAATTTGATCACGCCTTTTGTTATTTCCTTAGTGCGTTTGTTTTACTTGATCATTTGGATAATGTTGGACAACCCACAGAACATTTTGCAATTTTTACAAAACTCTTGGAAAAATCCCTTTTTTTGCAAATTTTAAAACTTAAATGTTGCCATATATCGCTCCTAGCAGCAGCCAAAGGTACTAATTTTTATAGTTAAATAGGTACCTACCTATATATTGTTCACCTAAATAATATCTAGTTAGCCAATATGAAAATAATATATGTACTTGAGACAAGTTATAAGTAAAGTTTTTTTTTTTTTTTTTTTTTTATTTATTTGAAGAAATCTACAATCTATACATGCTTTTTGTACAATAAGTAGGTTTGATATAAGAAAGGTAAAAATATGATATGAGTAGTTAGATTAGGGAAGATACCCAGTGGTAACACCCTATGAAGTAAAGTTAAAACTTTAAAAGTATTTACTAAAATGTTACTAATAATTTTAATATTTGTAAAAACAAATTACTTTCGTTTTCAAATAAAACATAAATTGGTTTTATTTATGATTTCTGTGAATTAATTAATTTTTTTCTAACAGTTTTTGTTTACCATTTATCAATAAAATTGAAATGTACACAAAGGTATTTAGATTATATTTTGTATGTACTTAGTAAATTTAAACAACAAGTAATTTTTTACGAATTCCCATACCATCTAATAGTTCATAGTCACGAAATATATTACATAAAAAAGTTTTACTTGAAAGTTTAATGGTGTTACTTATTAGTTATTATCGTTCATTTCACATTAGGTATATGTTATAATATATAAAATAATATAGGTGCTTATAAGTACTTCGGGTTTCTTTATAAATATAAATGAAAAATATTCCATGGTTTAATGAATAGTTTTTCCATTTTTCACTTGTGTGATATTATAATATTATATTTCATTAAAAAAAAAAATCCGAATACTTATTTTAAAATCAGTTGTTATTTATGAATATGATTTCAGCAAAAATTGTCTTAATAGTTCTAACGCTTAATATTTTAATTAGAATAACATATATATTTTTCCTTATATTAAAATTTTTTAGTTTTACCATTGATTATGAATACTATTACAAATACTATTCATAAAGAATGGTATTACTAATAAAACTGAAAAAAACTAATTATCGTTAAAAATCCTACAATTTTCCAACTCATTGCAGCTATGAAAATTATTTCACGTCTATAAAAAAGCTGTAAGTATGTATTTTGTGTGTAATTATTATTTATATATTTACAAAATACGAGCCAGGTACATTTTTAGATTTTCAGATAGATCTACATGGTGCTTTCGTTGCTTTTATATATTTTATAAAAAATTGGAAAATGCTGTAAAATGTAATAACTAATAAACTGTAAAAAAAACTAATGTCCCATGAAGTTGAATGGAACAATAAATAATAAATAATAAATAATAAAATACAATATGATAAATAACAATAAAAACTAACGAAATAATAATAAAAACCACCGTATAAAATCAATACATTTCTAATACCTACTCCACTCATATAATCAATTATGTTGCATAATTTATGTAGAGTTCAAAGTAAATTAATGCAAGTTACAAGTGTTCTAACGACAACATAGTAAGTTATATAATTTTTTACTTAACTATAGTAGGTATGTATATAGGTACAATTTGAATGATTCTGTACTCCTGTCCCTGTATAAAATATGTAAATAATAAGCTTAATATTAAAAAAGAAGATTGAATTGTACCTTAAACGTACAACAAATTTACCAGTTTATATAAGTTAACCTAAGTTTACTTAATTGATTATGGCATTGATTATACGGCATTAAAAAAATTGAAAATAGAGTTATTTTTATGTGAAATATTTTCTTTAAAATTAACTAGATATAGTAGGTATATATATTGCGTGTTTACGTACAACTCATATTTCACTTTATTTGACATTACACACTATAAATACATTCATCATTCATCATTCCTCGCACCTAAATCCACATATTTTGAAAATAATAATTACTATTTTAATTGCATACGGAATGTGTATGCATATCTAAGAATATAATTATTGTTCATTGTAATTCAGGTTACCTACCAGTTTCTCTAACGAGTAATAACTACCTGTTATAATTAACTGAGAAATAATTTAATGGAAATGGTTAAACGTTATAACAAAGATCTCGGGGGTTGGGCACCCCAATGAAAATATGCAATTATTGTCAATAAATCATAAATTCAAACTGAACACTACTGTATTCTTTAAGAATAGATACAGGATTACAGTAGTATTTTAGTTTGATCCATAGAAATTTTACTTTTTAGCGATCTTCGAAAATGGGATAGTATACTATAGGTATATTATATATATACATCTAACAAGTAATTATAACTTAAAATTTCTAAGTAAATACAATTTGTAGAATTCCTAATTTAATTGTGACTGTAATGATCAAAATTAACTATTGTATCAACAATAGAATTTCACAAACAAATATTAATATATTTTACCTAAATATTTTATAGTTGTTAGGATAACACATAAATATAATATAGTTAATCGGTACCTACTTAAAACCTACCTACTCTGAAAGTTATTTTTAATTTTATTTTTATGTATTTTGTTCTATAAATTATATAATATAATATAGATAGATGTAGATGGAAAATGTTTATAATATATATCTATATTTTTTGTATAGAATAAATTGATATTGTTTTAAATTTACTCTTAGTATTTGGGTCGAACACTGAAAATCCAGTTTATTCGAGCTCCCAATAATAATAACATTTAATAATACAGGTATAAAGCCTGTAAAAATATATCCGGCCTGCAGCCTATGTAAGTAGATTTTACTGTTAAGTTAAAAAGTACCTATTGAGTACCTAGGTAACTATATAAAAAATAAGGAAAACTTTTTTGTCTAATGATAGAATTGTGTGAAATAATGCCTCATATTTTAACGAATAGTAATTAATGGAGAAAAAATGTGTCAAAATTCTACTTGCGTTAAAAGACACTGACAAAAAGGTGGTATAATAAAAATAGCACCTATACACATACATATTAAATACGCATTATAATATATAGGGCGTTTTGTTATTATTTACTGTTTTTTTTTTTCATTTTTATTTTTCTCTTTAAGTAGTTATAAAAATACAATTTATCATAATCATTCATGAATGTGCACTGGGACACTGCT